AACATGAGATTAGGTGCAATCAATTTTTTGAAAGTTTTTATGGATTAAGAATAATACAGTACATTACTTTCTTTCCATTTTTTTGACCTTTTTTTTTTTACCCTCTTTTACAAAACCAAAACTTTTTTTAAAGGCAATTGATGATCAAGTATATATATATATATATATATATTTTTTTTCTTTTTTTTTAATGATTTAGAAATTCAATTATGTACATGTTTATAGGTGACTCCTATCATAAAAGCATCTCTAAGATATAGATCATGATGATGAAGATGTCAACATTAAAAGATTCTAATCTTAAAATTTGAAGAAAATTACTAGTATATGGACTCTAATTCTATACACACCACTAAAGTTAGCCTACTTATAGCTCTCTACTTCTCTAGACTTTCTATACATTGGTTATTTGCTTGCTTAATCTCTTTAGGCAGTTTTCTTTGCTAATTAAACTTTCTGTTTCTCCTCACATGGTTTGTCTTGTTGCCGCATAAACTGGACTATCAAGCTTAAACTTATAACCCTAAGTCCATGGACTACAAATATAACTACGGAGTATGTAGCATGTTAAACGTGTAAGATGAGCAATGACGGAGTTAAAACTTAGACGGAGTAAAATTTAGTAAAACTAATAATTTATTACATGGACGATTGAATTTATTTTTCTACATGTGGTTTTTATCTATATACTCAATGGGTAATAATCTAATTGATCCCCGGTAAATTAAAATGTCCATTATTAAAGACGAGTAGTGAGTAAATTATGCAAGTAAATTATAAAATACTCATTTATATTTTGATAAAGACTTTTTCACACAAAATTGTACTTGGGATTTGAAACTCTAGCTTCAAAATCAAATAATACACATCCCAAGCCTAGAGATTAAAGTGTAAAGATCTTCATTGAATTCTCCATAAATCTACACAAGCCTATTGAGACTAGCCCACACAACACAATCAATGATACTCAAGGTTATTATCATCATTATTATTTTATTTTTTTAATAAAAATTAAAAAAATATATGTTAAAGAAAAAGAAGATTAAATATTATTGGTGACAAAAAAAAAAAAAAATTGAAAGAGAAAACAGGAGATTGTCAAGAAATCAAACAGTTAAACACATCCCTTGACTTGCGGATATACGCATGAGCTGTGAGTAACTCTTTGCTACAGTCTTTAACGTACAACTTAATGTCAAGGTTACCATGCATGTTTGTCTTCCATACACAAAATATCACCCAAAACAATGCTACTCTCTTCTTATTTTGACCAACTTTAAAGTGTACATTACTCGGTACTAGTTAGTATATACACTAAACAGAAAAATCAAATCAAGTATGGAAATTCACTAAAAAATTATGCACTAAAATAGCAATATCAATTCAAGTATGGATCGATCGGACTCATCGGTGCGTCTATCTTTATAGTCTTGTGCAAAATAATGGATACACATTACATACATAACGCACATTTACTTTTTGAGATTATGTATCTACTTTTTTGATGGTAAATTATACATATAATTGCATATGTTGATAACAAAAAAATTTAGTAAGAACCGTACAAAACTACATATGACTATATGAGTGTTTTAAGCCAATAAACTTTTGGAGAGTTTATTAAGTTAGGATACACTTCATAGTTCGCCGTATTGCCTATAACCTACCAACGCCAGGCCAATTATATTACGCAGTACTTCTATCTTATTTCCATCATCTTAACTTTGAATATAATAGATATAAAATTATGTATGTGATTTCTATGTTCTAGAAACTTACTTTATGATGAATATAAGTCATTGCTAATAAATTAAACAAAAACGAAAAAAGAATGATCGATAAAAGTCGTTTACTGTATGAATTATGAAACAATGAATAATGGAATCCAAAATAGCGAAGAAAAGAGCAACAAAGACATTAATAAGATCCAGCTACTTGATGCATCATTCCTCTCTTTTTTTTTTTCTTTCTTTTTTTTTTTTTTTTTTTTTTTTTTTTTTTTTTTTTTTGTTGACACAGCAATCATTCCTCTAAAGCATGCATTAGGAGAGACTTTGCATGAAAACCTTTCCTTCTTTTAATTTTCCTCTTTAATTATTCACGGCATACAACTATTCCACTTTTTCTTTGCACGTTTTTTCTGTAGCAATTACATGACCTAATAAGTAAATCATAACAAGTTACTACATTATATATTCTCAAACAAAATCTCTGTGAATTATATTCATAAATCATGCATGTTCATTATTATTCAACCTTTAATTTGCGTGGCCGAGAGTAATCTAATCACTATTTTATGCAATTTCTTCATAAATAAATCTTTCTAATTAACGCAGAAGAGTCCGCTAAACAAACGTTTCTGATAATCGAAGAAACTTGAACAACTAAAACATAGATAAACGGTTGGATATGCAAGATGGAAAATATATACATAGAGGTGTGTACTAAACCTAACAAAGTACATCAAATACAAATTAAGTACTTAAATTGATGTGAAAATTATCTCATACGAAGTACAAGCTAATGAATTGTATTGTTGTTATTGTTATTGCTATTACCCTTCTAAGTAACCAACAATAAACATCTAAACATAAGATTATTACTATTTGATTAGGTTAATAAATAATAAGACTCCTACTTCAATTTATTACTACTTAATACTCCTATAATAACTAGTGTTATCCTTTTGAGAAAAACTAAAAGTATTTAGCTTATTATTAACCATACATCAATCATTAACCAACATGCAGGAGCCCTCTAAAAGTTGCATGCTACTAATCTTTCACCAAAAGATCTTGAAAGTTCTTATAATAACTCTAAAATTTTATACAGATCAAACAATTATTTTCACAAATATGAACTTGAAATAGGAGTGCTTTATTACACAAAAGTATAAAACCACTGCACCAAAAAAATTATACTGTAGTTATCTATTTTTTATTTAAAACAAAATGTAACAGAAAATAGAAATTCCAGTCATTTTCTCTCATACTACTGCAAGTTCCTGTCTGAAAACAACTAACAATTTGACAAAACCAACTAATTTCAGAAAATAAAAAAATAAAAAAAAAATCATCAGAAAACAGTTTGAGTTTTCTGTGTACAAATTATAGAGTGCAATCAAAAATGTGTCAGAAGATAAAAGAGTATATATAAGCCAGAATAAGGGGGCAAAAAGAAAGAAAAACTAAAAAGATCAGAAAAAAATAAGGAAATATGAAGATGAAATGCAAACAAACTGCAGAAATTTTTGGAAGGAAAATAAGGATATATATGAGCACATGATATATAGGTCAGAAAGTTTTTCATAAATTAGGTAATAAAAATTTTGTCCACTTATATAATTTTTTTTTTAATTTTTTTCTTTTTAATTTAAGTTAGCAAATCTAGTAATCTATATATAAAAAAGCATCTTTTCCTAATAAATCATATGCTATCATATATCTAGTTTGTTTTTGGTACCTTTAACTAGTTTAATTGCTGCATGCAGTATGTACCCTAATAATTATTTGTAGTTGACAATTATACAATTGCAAAACCCCAAATCATAACATTTATATATCATATAGTATAATTTCTTTCTCTTTATTTTTTTTCTCACTTTCTATTGTTACGACAAAAACAATCACATGCAATACTTACACACAGTTTTTAATGCTTCTACACAACACACCCCCATGCTAATAAGCTAGCTAAGCCGGCCCTTCTCTTATGAAGGTCACATCCTTGCATGTCTACTTCAACAATATTCATCCTATAATTCATTTTCTTATTTCAGATGCTTATATACACAATATGATGTACGTTATGATAAAAATAATACAAAAACTCTATATGTCTAGTTATCCGTCCAAATACAATGGTCACTTTAATAGTGTGAATTGATCGAACTAGTTGTGTGAATCGAATATCTTCTGTAGGATGTGTAATGTGTTAGGCCGGCCCTCCCTAGGGTTTAACCTAAACCAAATATGGATAGAGGCAGTTGATCATTAAATATGTAGTTACTCTTCTCCTTGACTCGCTTTCATTTATGCATGTGTTGCCCTAATCGACTAGATCTAACTTCTTAATCAACTAGATGGAAATTTATAGCATAAATTTGACACATCAACATACAAGCTTAAGGATTCATTTCATGTTAATCCTCAATATGTACCTTAATACTCCATAATAAGAACCATTTCCTACTATTAGACCATGCAACTAACCCATCCCATCTCATCACCATCCAAAAACCATAGCAATATACTTCGTACGTATATTATCATCATCAAATTCATTTAAAACGTAAATGCATCTCCAACAAATAGAACTTAACCAAATCATATTCTTTAACGACAGTTAATACACGAACGAATCAAACAAGAGATCGATTAGCACAAAATAATGTAGCTAGCTTAGAAAGAATGCAAGCTCTTAGATTTTACCTAATGGCTAAATGCATGTCATTCAAAATACAAATTGTGTGGAAGTAGAAGTAACAAGTAACACCATATAATCTAATGTCTTTTTTTATAATGTAATGTAATAATTATTTAAAAAACAATAGAAGGAATTAAAAGGGTCATGTCATGAAATAAATGTCATAGAAGAAAGTGTAGAAAAGAAGTACAGAATGCAGAGTGCAGTAGTAGTAAGATTTATACGTCCGGCAAACTGACGGATAAGCTGGAAAAAGTGGCTGCCTCGAGTTCAAAACCCCAGTGCAGAAAGCAAACCACCAATTCAATTCATTACCAAACACTCACACAAACAATTCTTCATTAAATAAATAAAATAAAAAATAAACTTTGAGCATATATATGAATGAAACAAAAAGCAAAGACAAAATCATAGATTTTGCACATATCCACATGCTACCACAAACAAATAAATAGAATTAAATAAAACATTGAAAACAAATAAATTAAGATGTCTAATCAAGCAAAGGAAATTAATTTAAGTTTGATTTCAAACATGAAATCAAATTAATTAACATAAACCAATGTCATAGTGAATAATTAGCATGATGATGATCATCATCATACCTTAACAATATCCAATAATAATTAGAAAATCACCTAATTAAAGATCATACAAAAAAGAAATAAAAAACATTTCTTTTGTAAGACTAGCTAGACCTTGCCAAGTTCCCAATGACCAAATTGACAAATAAAATCCTAGAACATTACAATTTTTTTCCACATTTTTTTTTGCTCATCATCAAATGATGGATTAGCTAGTTAGATAGAGAGAATGTATGTAGGAAATTTGGATAATCAAGATCTTGGGGGTGGGAAAAATTGCGTACCAGCTAGGAAAGCATTGATAGGAGTTGGATAAATGGAAGAATTATTCGTACCCATCGGGTCGAGTAAACTAGCTGTTGCAGTAGCTGTTGTCGCGTTATTATTAGTACTACCACTACCAACCGTACCCATTAGGTCAGTAGTGGTAGTAGCCGCGGTTAACATAAGACCGTGTTGTTGAGACCTACCCCCGGAGGAGCTTTCACCACCACCTCCCCCACTTCCATAGCGTGTTTCGGGACCTTGATCGTAAAGGATGCCCTTGAAGAGATGTCCTCCTATGTTTACTGCTGTTTGATACGCAAATTGTTCGTCTGGATCATCTATTGGACTCACCCGAACGCATCGGAAAACAGCTGGAGAGTTCACTTCCGGTGGGAAATTACCCACTTCCAACCCTAGTACATTACACAAAACAACATTTTTTTTCAATAATTATTATAATTACACATAAAATAGATGTAAAAAAATGTAGTGATTATGATGAACATGAAATTATAACTCATGGAATATTATGATTTTAAGATTATTTTTATTGGGTTTTACTCTTGAACAGTAAGATAGAATAATAACTCAAAAGAGAAAGAGTAAAGCAAGATGTTTTTGAGAGAGTACTATAGAAGTAGACTAGTAAACATGCAAATGATATACTGTTCCAAAGTTATGATAACTTGATAAGAATTTTGTTGGTTAGTAGTAAAATCATAAAATTTTGAGTGACAATTTTCATAGAATGACACATGCCAAACTATTTATAAAATTTTAAAAAAAAAAAAAATTTATGAAAAACACAATTACTTCATCAATGATATTTCAAAGAGAAGAATTGAATGGGTTGAGATCAAATCCATCAATCAAAAGAAATGCTATCAAAGAACTCAACCCAATCATTCTGTTTACCACTTTGTGCCTATTTACATTCAAACAAAACAAGATGAATTAATAAATAAATAAATAAAATTAAAAATTGTGAGGGCATCCACTCCTCGTCTAGTCGTCTAGACTCCCAAATTTAGTGCTTAATTACCTGCCGTGGTATTAGCGGCAGTGAGGACGCGAGAATTACTCCGGTTTTCTCGTGTCCTCTTTTCACCTCCAATTCCAACAGATGGTCTCATCATTTGTTGAGTCTGCTGTTGCGGTTGTTGCTGTTGTTGTTGTTGTAGCACGGTTAACTGCTGCTGGCGCTCACGGCGCTTAGCGGCGGGCACCCACGTACTCTTAACGTGAGTAGGACAATCAAATCCACGACTCTTACAACAAGTCCTACACCTAAGATGAACACAATCTTTTTTTGCTTGGTTACCACAATCTTGACAATTCATACCCCCAACACTAGCACCTAATTGCCTAAAACCCGAGGATCTACCACCACTACCACTCGATACGACCGTATTGTTATTGTTATTGCTACTGTTATGATCGTTGTACTCATCAATGCCAAAGATCCTACGACTAGTAGTTGCGGCCGAAGACGGGCCTACCACCATGGACGGCTGTGATTCCCCTAGAAAAACATGTTGTTGATGATGATGATGGTGGTGATAATCTTGATGAAGGTGTAGCTTCGGTACATGGTGATGATGGTGGACCTGCACGTATTGTTGCCATATCTCAAAACTACCTTTTGGGTAGATCTCCTCACTGCTATTATTATTATTGTTATTACTATTATTTCGAGAATAAATTATTAAACCCGGATTATTATTATTATTATTATTATTATTATTACTATTATTATTATTATTCAGAAACCAGGAATTCTGATTTTGATTTTCAGAATTACTGGAGGGAGTATTATTATTATTATTATTATTATTATTTTGCGGGTTTTGTGAACTACCGCTCCCCGGTGTTCCTAATGAGAAAAAAGCAGCCATATTATTCTCATCAGATTCATCTCAAAAAATTCCAATTTCATAACCAAAACAAAACAATAAAAAAATTTCTTAGGTTAAAAAAAGAAAAAATATATATATAAAAAAGAAAAGGAGAATTTATATATTACTCTCTTAGAATCAGTTGTAATAAAAGCAAAAACTGCAACGCCGCCAAACTGAAGCAGCAACGTTGTTCATTTTCTTTCTTACCTCTGAACAAATTTTTTGACAACAACAGCAACAAAGAAAGGAAAACAGAAAACTGAAAACACTGATTTTCTCTCTGTTGTTTTGGTTTTTGGTTTTGTGTTGTTGCGTTTTGTAAGAAAATGAGAAGCGGGTTTTTATTTTTTGGGTTTGATATGATTTTCTCTCTCCTAAAATGAGTTGGTCTTTACTGCCACTTCTCTACAGTTTAATCTAGCAGTGCCATGAATCTCGTCATTGAAATAATGGATGTTGGCCGTTGGATGATGAATCGGATGGTTAGATTTGTTCCACGTGTCAGAGAATCAGCTTTTGGGTCTTATTCGTCCTTGCACCGAAAAACCCGCTCTACTTTTTCTGAGCTGTGTCAAGTTATTATACTCTCTAGTTTTACTGATAATATTAATCACAATATTTGTTGAATTTCTTGATTAATTAGTGTAGTTAATCTTATTTAAATCATTTTTAGCTTCTAATGTGGCACTTTTAGTTTCCTTAATCATAAAAGGAAATGCCAAATGTTGAGAATTGTGGTAAGAACCAAAAAAAAAAAGAAAAAGACCATAGTTTATGAATTATACAAAGTATATACGAAATATATAAATAAAGAAGTGAGATAATTAAACATATTAACCACCAATGATGTACTATTAGAAGTCTTACCATCTCATCTAACAATTAATCATGCTTTTATACTCAACTCATAAATATATATATGGATTGGAGATACAAACATTTAATAACTACAATTTTTTTTGAAAAAAAAATAATAGATTCTATTATTTGCTAATAATGCTCATTAAGGTAATGAATAAAAGAAGAATTAACAATTATTATAAACTTATTTTAATTGTTTAATTATTTTGATAATAATTATATCTTTGTTTTCATTATATTATAGATTATATACGAAGGGCATGTTTATCTAATTAGTCAATAGTTGTTCTCAAAGGTTTTATGAAAAATTATTATAAATAAACAAAGAATAAATAATTAAAGAATAAAGAATTAGTCTATCTATTTACTTACAAGTATTCAAAGTCACAATCCGGAGCATCGCTAAGGCTACACACTAGTTGAAAAGTAAAAACTATGCAAAAACCAAGTAGGTAAAACATTAGGCAACGAGATTGTATTATTTGGAAGACAAGCAAAAAAAGAAAAGTGGGATGAACTTGTACATAGTTTTCTCAATACGAGCTGACTTGTATTATTGTTTGAAATTTTATCTTAAAGTGTATATTTTAATTACTACATTAATTAGTAATTAGTTTGAGTGATAATTCAAGTGGTTGCATGTGTAATTAGTTCCTTGAAATATAAATTTCATAATTTCATTATGTGTATGTTCAGAATATATAGAAATTAGCTAACCCACAATAAGTAAACTATAATTCTTGATTCTTTGATCGTAAAAACATGATTTGTTTTTATTGAACAACTTATAAGAAATTTCTCAAACCCTACAAATTGCATAATTGATATATACTTTAATTTGTATATCTTATTAGAGTGTATAATAAACTAAACACAAGTTGAATATATACTTCTTTTTTTCTAGATCCTATTTTTCTATTGTTTATGTATGATCTATGTATACGCGTGTACATTAGCAAAATTTTACAATAAAAAATTACTACACTAAATTACTGTATATAGTATATATTTGGGCATAATGATTAATGAATTTTAGGTTAATGCACAAGAGGACATACATAAATTCAAGCATTGATAATTGATATTGCTCCCTTTGTTACCGCAAGTCCGCAACGCCACAGCGCAGATGCATGATTGGTGACTCAATTATAAATCAATAGGATTATTTCTACAATCATTATTATTAAAATTTCTTTGATTTGATTTCTTCTTGTTGTTCTCCTTAATTAACTTCTTACAGGTTATTTAAATTTATCTTTCTTGAAAATTTTCAACTCATTTTTGACATCTTGGAATGCCCTTTTAAGATATACGAAGTATATAAGATTTGCACTTGTATTAACTATTTCTTTTATTGGTAAAATTTTGTTATTTAAACTCAAAGGCTAATGAAAATAGCTTTTGACTATTGAAGTTTCAATTGTATGTCTGAAATAAGACTGATGGAGCAACCCAATTTTCCTAATGACAAGTTGAAATTTTCCAATGTACGATCTACCACTTATAATGTTTCAATTATATAAGCTCGACGAGCTCATTGTTTATTGCATTATAGTCCTTATTCATTTGAATAGGATTTAATTCGTAAACTTTACCTTGTGATTGTAGTTTTTATTTAGTTGACACTTATAATTGATGATATATAATATACTTTTACTGAACATAAACAAAAATTGTAAGAACTTGAATTTTTTAAATTTACATATTGAAACAAACTTATAAGAATCTACATTATTATATTAACATGCATTTAAATTAAAGGAGAATGGGTGAACAATACTAAAATCAATACTTCGCAGGTGTCAAATAAAATAAAAAGATACTGAGAAAGTATTAGAATGAAATCATAAATAGCTAATATACCATATCATAATATCTTATTTAAGAATTTTAATGACGATTAGTCAATCAAGTTTCCGATTGGTAAGTTTGGATAACCAAAAACACTAATTTTGTATTCGGTTTTTTTTTTTTTTTTTCAGTTTTGGATTTGGATCAAATTTATACAATTAAAAAATTTCAAATATTTGACTTTTTTTTTTTGAAGTATCAAATATTTGACTTAGCAAGCCATAGTTTTAAATGGACTCTGTATAAATATAACGTATCAATCAAATTTTACTTGATTTTTTTTTTTTCTAATTTATTATCAAAGATATATATTGATAATTAAATTTGTGTGTTAAGTAGGTCAAAATGGATAAAAAATCATACTCGTACTTGCAAATTTGTAATCAAGGAAATAACAAAAGAGGAAAATGTAATCAGACGGCTGCCAGTGTCCTGCTCCGGTGATCTTATGACAGGCGTCAAAAATAATTGGACCCACTTTTCTTCGATCTTTGTATTGTTCTCTGACTTTTTTTCTTTCTAGAGACATAAGGCTGGTTTTTCTATCAACTTCTTTTTCTCCTTATTTTATTTTATTTATTTATTTATTTATTTATTTACTCCTAATTCATATTTATTTTTTAATATTATGAGTAAGTTTTGATTTTTGGTGGATTTGAGACTGGAGACTGTCTTTAACACTTTCTCGCTCTTTTTTTTTTCTTCTAAAAAACTTTTTTTTTTTAAAAAAAAAAAACCAAATTCTTCAAACGTATTTACCCTTTTCACTGAAATTTGCAGAAAATTGATTATTATTTTACTCTTTCATCTCATAAGTGTAACGCAATTTAATTATTTTTATCAAAATTTACGCTTTTATAATCTTATAACTCCATTAGTATACAAAGTTTAATTGTATCAATTGAGATGTTAAATTTGTTCCAATATTGTATGGGTTGATACCGGCTATTTTTATGGATCGAATAATTGAGTCGAATTTATGAATTTGGACCTGTATACTATCGACATATGAGTATTTTCATATCGGCCTATTCACTAGATCCACATAGACAGTTGCTTTCGGCCACGTGGACATCTACTAACCACTTGACATGATACCTAGGCCACGTGCTTTTAGTATTCTATATATATATCCTCATACTCCCCCACCCCCCCCCCCGGCCGAATGTAATTACTCTTAAACCACTTAATTTACTCATTATATCCTTATTGAACTGCACTAACTTTACCATTTGAGCGTTTTTCACATGACAAATCCTTGAAAGTAGCTTATTAATGTTGACTGTTTAGAGATCAATATAAACATGATATGAAATCATTACTAGCTCCACATACAAGTTCCCTATCCATATGGAAACAAATAAAGTATATATTTTCAAAATATCAAAAATAGTAAAATAAATCATACGAGTCATATCTCATATGATTATATCTTGTGTAATGTCAAATGTTACACCTAATTTTAGGTGAATGAAGTAGTTAATTAGTGTTAATTTTTTTTTAATATCATGTGACTTGAAACGAGGCGTTTCATGTATTGCTTTATAGGGTAGCAATCTGTGTTCCTATCTCTACATTCTTGGGCTAATTATTGAAAGTTTGACCTATATTCATCATTAGATAATATTTCAGTGTGATTATTTTAATGTAATGGTTAAAATTTAATTAAAACTTATCAGCGTAGCAGTTGGTTTTGATGAACAATCCACTCCCAGATTAGAGGTCAACTTTTTTTTGACAGCATGAATCAGTTAACCTATAGTGTGTGACTATGTAAGTAAGCATGAAAACATCACTAAAACTTAAAAGATATTCATTCTACGGAGTACTATATAACTATAATTTTTAATATACTTCTTGAGAGGTTCTACAATAAATGAAACCTATAGTTTAACGATAAATACATGCTTCAAGTATTTGTGTAGTTGTGCAAGCTTTTGATAGATTTGTCTAAAATTTTAATTTCAAATACTTAAATATAATTTTTATAATTGTTTATTGCATTCCGCAATAATTATTAATGGATATTGATTTTAGGATAAAAATTAAAGGGAAAAGTTTTCATGTTCAAGTTTTTTATTGTTTTGTGAGACGATTGTTATTTTT